TGCAATATTAATAAATATAATAATAATAATGGTGACAACAATTATAATCTATAAATTTACATTCGACTTTCGCGTTTTTATATATTTTTATACTTTCATAACGCTAATAAATATCTGAATAAAATTAATAGATATTCATTAATAAATTTTAGTAATCAATGATTCCCAAATAGTATATTGATGGTAAAGAACTAGGTAATAATAGCTTAAGATAGTATTTTAATCGATATAATCAGCTGGCGTACTAAAGCGCATTTAATGTTCTTCGCATAATGGTTTTTCGGCGAAAAAAACGGATTTTCCTGATCTATTAGTGTTCATGACGTATTATTTATTATTTATTATGGTGCAAATTCATAACTAAATTCTTTAATTTTAAGTGATTTTTCACATTTTTTTTTTTTTTGCGTGCGTAATCACAAATAATTATTTAAAATAAATTAAAACATGAATTATATTTTTATATAGTTAAAAAAAAAAAAAAATCAAAACCTAGTAGCAGAATTTAAACTGTTTAACTGATGTTTATTCTACGAATTACTGTCTGTAAAAATTCACATCAGCACTTGACATTATCGTACGAGTTGATGGCAATATTAAAATTGTCCAAATATAAGGAATGGATCGCTTTTATCAAGGTGATAAAACATATAAATGTCTTTTAAATGAGTAATTCATCTTTTTATCATCGTAAATTACAAAAGTATCAAGCAGTCTGTCAATGTCATTGACTGTTTTATCGTTATTACTATTATTTGTTTTTATTTATCAATTATTAATATTTTTTATCAACTTTATTTATTAATTTTTCTTTTTTATTATCACGAGTGTCGATGGCGGGCTTTTAAATCATTCTACAATTAATTATGTTTTTCTTCAATGATTATTTAATTCTAAACGTGTAAAATACGCATTCGATGCTGCTTTAAAATTGTCTAGTAGTCAAATTTTATTTGCTTGCTTATGTTATGCTTATCTCTTCATTTTCGATTATTTAATGACAGAATTGGATTTCCCGCAGCATACAAATACTAACTATATACGGTACGCTTATTTGCGTTGTTATTACAAGTTATTGTTACTAAAATTAAGGTGGCAGTCAAATATTATGCTTTTTGTTCGGCACCCTTGGTTTGTTGCTTGCATCTGTTTGCTGTCAAGTTGTTATTTTCTTCAATGAAAGACTTGAAATTTTGAAGCTGCGTTCAATTGTTGTTTTTTTATCTCGAAGATGTGTATGATAATTTAAAATATGATATTGTAAATATTTATAGAAGTATCGATGCTACTATTTTTCGATTCTCTACCATGTACTTTACGGGCATTCGTTAAAGAATAACATTGCACAATTAAATTAAACATTTTTAAATACGGAGAATTTTTCAAAATCATTGTGAGAAATTAGTTTCACTAACCACACGTACCGATGTACCGAAATTTTTCTGTAAACGTACTTTTATTGTTAACTATGGCATGTCCAATTGATTTGCCCACTTTTAATTACTATTGCTCTCGCAAGAGCCTACGTATTGGCTCATCTTCTGAATTTTGGCTGTCCTATTTTTTTTTCTATCAATTTTTTTGTAATTTTGTTGGTCCCGAACGCCTTGTGTTTGACGAAATTTGATGGATTATTTCATGTATTGTGTATATGCGCGGATGTGTGTGTATGTACACGGGACCTACACTACTTTTTTCATCTCCATTTATTACATTACAAGTGCATCGAATATATCGTTATATCACTTGTGCCTACAACTCACGTTAATTATGTTAACTTTTTGTTGAAACTTTGTTTCATGACATACCATCTTCGTGTTTCACATGTGCAATTATTAGTTTTAAATTTCTGATCTTGTCGCTTGCTACCGTATTACTTTGTATTAAATGACAATTAAGTATCAACGCAATCTCTTTTTTTTACAGCTATTCGATGACGCTCTCGCTAATTTTTCTTCGAAATTTTTATTCTTCGGTGTTTTTTGGCAGTTTATACGTATTTACATGATAAATGGCTTTTTTGATAAAAGCCAACGTTATACGTCAGCTTGCCATTGACATCGTTCGTGGCTCGCANGAAAAGAAAAGAAGAAGAGGAAGGGAAGGAAGAAGAGTAATAAGGAGGAGAGGAGGAAGAGTGAGGATAAAGTTTCACATGGGACAGAACGATAGGTACGCGAGGCAGAAAGAGAGAGAAAAAGAGCTAGTTTGTGTGTATATATATTTATAAAGTTAGTGCCGACTGACCTTTCTCGAGTGGTGCCCGCTTGTACTTCTCGAGCCTCTTGACGGCGATCGCCTCGAGGCGCACCCTGGCCGCCGGGTACTCCTTGAGCACGTCCCACATGTCCTTTTTGCTGAGTACGAAGAGATCGGAGTAGCCGACCGACCTGACGCTCGCTGTTCGCCGGTTACCTGCGTCGATTTAGCGATTTATCGGTTATTAACAAGGAGCACGCTTGCCGCTCGCTCGAGCTTTTTTCTTTTTCGTTTCTTTCTTTTTTCTTTGCCCATTTTTTTTTTTTCTCATAAGCAAAGCTCGATCCACACGCTGGCTCGTGTACATTATGTGTGGTGCATGTGTGTGTGTGTAGATTAAGTAAATAGGTGGGTCGTCAGGATGCTACACAGTTAAGCTCGATGTTACTGATGATAAAAAAAAGTCAATCTTCGAAAAAGCCTTTGCTTTTATGTTATCTTTTTTTTTTTTTTTTTCCTCTGACTGTTGTTGGGCAATAGCATCCAAAGGGGAGGATGACGAAGGTCACTGGTAACGAGAAAACAGCTCCTATTCGCAGAAAAGCTTTCAATGAAAAGTAAGTATGTATAAATTCGAAAAAAACAAGGAGGGTATATTTTCAACACCTTGCTCCAACAATCGAGCTTGCAAGCTCTGATGGTTTTTCACCTGCCTCTCCGAAATAATATCATTTGACTGGGAGTGTTTACTTTTTGCATAAATAAATGTGATCTCGGTCGAGATGAAATCTGAATAAGTGATTGAAAAAAAAAAAAAAAAAAGGAGAACTACACTAATCCAAAAGCTCATACAACTTGGTACTTCGCATAAACTTTCAAATAATCGTTTTAAGGCCAACTGTTTTGTACGTACAGTTTGCTCGAAAGGATATTATCCCGTGCAGCAATGGAAAGAAGTAGCGAGTTAGTTCGCTGTAGCCGATTGCGAGAATTTTACGAGCACCTCGTGAGGGGCTGTGCTCCGTGCACTCGCGCGAAATAGAAATTCAGTGAACGCTTTTCGAGGGAAAATCGATTATTAAGAGGGAAAGCATTCGAGCACCTTATATAAATGACAAGTAGTTATACACGTGTGCGCGATGTGAAAATAGAAGCTGGGGTGGATGTGGGAGTTTATTGAATACGCTCTGGTGCATCGAAAAAGGGAATTCAGGACACGTTTTTTCTTTGCTTTTCCATTTGTTTAATCAATTGAGGAGTTTTGAAAACTATTGTTACCGTCGATGGATTTATAAATTTTTTTTCACAACCTCCCCAATACAAAAAAACGCTTCTAGTATACCTAACAACCCAATGGAGTAAGTTTTTTTTGTACCTAATCTATATAAAATAAGTGAAAGTAGTACAAAAGTTGCTGAACATATGAGTGTTTTTATCTCGGCACTATTGGGTTGTTTCATAAAAAACCACCAGATTCCGGATTAGCTAGAATCGATCAATGTTTGCGCCGATAATCTAACAACAATAGGTTTCTTAATTCATACGATCCATTAATGGCTAGTGGGTCACAAAAGCTCATATTGCAGGATCGTAGGGTTCAAGGACCTTAATGCTAAAAAAAGCTTCCTTTCAAAGCTTTGTGTTTACTTCTAGGGAAAGTTCGTGATTGCTGGGTCAGCTTTGAAATCTGGTCTGGTTTTAAAAACCAACAATATTTACGCGTGGGCTGGATAGCCCAATCAAGCTTTGTTTATTTTGCAAAGCCGTGTTTGTATTGTTCGAAAGTTTCGTGTACTTTCGATAAAGCATTCACATTTTTTCGTAATTACTGTATTTTTTATTATACAGTTTTTTTTTTTTTTTTTTTTTTTTTTTTTCTTTTTTTGTATCACAAAAAATATATGAATTAACAGTATCAGAATCAAAGGTTTCACTCTAAATTATAAATAAACGAAATACGCTAAATCCACAAAAATTAACGTGCAAATTTTCAAATACACGGACCAGGTATTCTTGTTTCTTCAACATACACCGCTTCGGAAAAATAATTAGCCTACAATCGAAGCGTAGTTAATTCAAACTTGTATAATTTAAGTAATTTGATAGCTGGTTCGATGGACATTTAAAAACTCTTGACTTTGAAAAATCGTGCACTACTTTTCGTTTGAATGATGAAAAGTCAGTACCATTAAAATCAATTAAATTCGTATACCTATTAATTTACAATCGTCATAACGATGAAGTGCGTAATAACAATAGTGATAATAATAATAATAATAATAATTTCATGCACGTACAACTCGTAGAGTCTGCTGGTGGTTGTTGGACTCGAAACATCTGAAAAAGCTACGTGGTTTCTACTTTCGTATTAAAAAGTACAAATTCGGCTGCTCGTTAAAACATTGACACGGTTACACGCGACCCACACCGAAAATTATTGGCTGCGATAAATCGATGACGAGCCGTTAAAATGCCCGTCCCACTCACGCGAACAGGACTATCGTGTAGCCGAGGAACCTGCTCGACTTTTGCTCCTGCTGTCGGTGGGGCGAGGGCTGCGGCCGGGTCGGTGAGGATGCCCCATTGACGACCCTCCCCGAGGCGTTGCCCTCGTCGTCGTTCTCGCTCGCAGTCGTGTCACCCTTCACCTCGACGATGGTAGCCAGCCTCGGGCCCAGTGTTCCCGCCTCGATCTCGGCCGTAGTCGTGGTGGTCGTGGTCGTCTCGTCCGACTCCTCCTCGAGCGAGCGGTTGTTCAGGTGTATGCGCACGTTAGCGTCCACCGGGTGATGGGCCTTGGCCGGAGCGGTAGGGGCCGTGGGAGGGACAAGAGCGGCAGGGGCCTCGTCGTCGTCGGTGGTCGAGGTGACCGCGTGCTCGCAGTGGGGACAGCACAGCTCGGCTTGGCAGCTGAAGCAGATGAGGTCGCCCTCGTCCGTCTCCGAGAGCTCGCAGTGGGGACACCGAGGTTGCTGCCGGGGTTGGGACGATGCCAGTCGACGGCTCGGCTCTTCGCAGTGGGCGCACGCTGGCGAATCCTCCGAGCTTTCACGCTCGAGTTGGGCCCGATGGTGGTAATGATGCTGCTGGCGGCGATCCTGTGGGCCAGATTGTGGTTTTGTGAGGTTGGCCTTTTTTTCCCGAAGGGGAGACTTTGTGCGTTACGGGTATGCATGAGATAATAAATTTACCCCAGTTATCGGGGTATCAAAAAAATTGGACGTGGTGCTTGACCAAAAGTTTGGGTGTTTATTACTCTTGCTGGGTTAATTTTTACAGTTTCAAGGGCAATAACAGTTTTCTACCAGAAAATATAAGACATACCTGTGAATTTTAATGGGATGCAAACAATTAATCACGTGGGATGGATACACATATATAATGTTTGGTGCTTTATAGGTACCGTTGTTGCCTTTGTGTTTATACTCATTATGATTTGTATAAGCGCCATAAAGTGGCCTTGATTTTGTCATTATTCTGATAGTAGTGAACTTATGATTTGGCACGAATTTTTTTTTCTTTTAATCAAGAAAATTGAATATTTTTCTCACATACACTCGAGCAATGTCGGTTCCAGACCTTACTTTGAAACAGCTTCTCACAACTTGCAGTTTTAAAATCGGATCTGGGGCCAGTCTGATGTCACTCGCGCGTACATAAGTAAGCGAAGTATCTTACCACGTATTGATTAAACATGTTTATAAATGCAAAAAAATTAAGAAATACGTGCTTATATCATACAGCAACATGACCTCATGATTTGTCAGGTAACAGTACCCTCCTTTTTTTACCAAATTTATTTTTAAACTACCACTTTTCTTCTCTAATGTTAAGAGTGATTGTCCAATTATTTTCGAAAATTCTCTATTGTACATTGATCATATTTGTATATTGGATTACTCTTCAACAAATTCTTGATAATTTTTTATCACGTAAATTACTGCTCACGCGCTAAATCGACATCAAATGTAATTAAGAAATTGAATAACATAATATATGGAAATATTCAATAAAAAGGAATAGGTCACTTGGCAGCAGCTTTTTTCATTTGGAGGAAGGGTTATTGATACATGTGCCGTAGGAGTATAGTGATTTTTAATATATAACACAGAATGGCTGATAACAAACTTTTGTAAACATTGAGCAAAAAATTTTTTATCGACAAACATTCATAAACGGTATGCGCCAAGCATTATTGTGCACTGCAGCTCTGTTTACATCAGTGACGGGGTAAGTGAACATTGAAATTTCTGGGTATCATAAAAAGTAGGTACGTACTGTAGTAATAAAACTCGTAATACACGCTGTACGGGCGTATTAAAAACTTTTCCGATACTGTACAATTTTGCTCGTACGTAATTTATTCTCTCTGGGCTTATAACTTTTTTTTTAATTTGTTGTTTTTTTTTTTCTATTGGATGCCCCGTTACGACCAAACTTTTCACATTAAAAATCCATATGTGAATCCAATCGAGAGGCCCGGGAACGACGGCGACTCTGTAGAATGAGTGGTGTAGTTGTTCTTAAGAATTGCAGTATTTTTTTTTACCAAGTTTTAAAAATTTATTTATTTTTTTAAGTACCCTGTGAATTTTTATTTGTTCGCACATGCACATTTTGACGTACGAAAGTAGCTATGGATCAAGTTAAAATTTATTGGGATTGAAATTTTATCAGATTCCTTCGAAAACCAAGATGTTGATGAAATTTCAGTAGTAGAGGCAAATGATTGGTCAGACATCAATGATTTACTCAAGGCCGAAAAATGAGGCTCCAATAAAAATTTTCCCTCGATCCACTTTATCCGTGCTATTCATACGAATGGACTAAAAGCGTTAAAAAAAAAAAAAAAAACTTACACAGGCATGATGGAATCGCTCCTCGACGTAGCGTCCAGTCACAGCACTTGGTGTACGAGGCCTGACGGCGCAAGTTCGGCTTCTCTGGTCACACTCGCTGCACAACAATAGGTTCGACTTGCTGCCCGGCTGAGATACCGAGTAGCCATTACACGTAAGCGTGGCACTCGGCTCGACAATCTCGTCCAGTGCAGTGACCATCCCCTCGTCCTCCTCGTCGCTCTCGAAGAGACGCTGGCTCAAGCTCCCGATCGACTTGGTGTCGCTAGTCACATCCAGACCCACTGGCTGCTGGTGTTTTTGTTGTTGCTGCTGCTCCTCTTGCTGTTGGGTTCATGGATTTTATGGCTTGTGAATTAATTTTTTCTTTTTTCAAGGAACCGAACTGCCGAGAGAACGTTTTCACGAGGCGGCGCTCGAGATCGTAAAACTCGGTGATTTGGGGCTTTTATGACCCACAGGGGTGTTTTGCGAGGAGAAGCACGGATTTTATGGCGCAATATGGTTTAACAGTTAAAAAAAACTTTACCGAGTATCGTTAAGGTTTTATTGAGGGGATGAGAAAATTCAATACTTTTTTTTAATTTAAAAATTTCATCTCGTTATATGATACTCGATAGTATTACATGAAAAATTCATTACTATAGGTGATGCGCATCACTTGCAATGAAAGTCTTATAACTGTTTAACGCCATGACGATCGTTATTTTCTGTAATCCTTGATTTACTCTTCATTTCTGAGGGTAATACATGGATTCTGAAAATTAATTGGAATCCGGGAGATGGTTTTTAAAATACCTCACAATAGAAGATAGTGTCTCTGGAACTATCAAAAACCTTATTTTTTGTAATCTAATGAGCGGTAGAGTACAAGAAAATTTTTGTTATTCCGAAAATCAATGAGAATGACAAATTTTATAGAGATAAAAATAGATTGAAAAAAACGCCTTGCGCGATCCCCTCGCTTTAGAAATAAGAGCAAAAGGCAAACTAATTTCTCTAGAGCAATAATAATAAGCAAGAGAAAAAAAAAAAAAAAATTGTTTGATCATACCCCGTGCTCCTGCAGATATCGGCGTATCCGCTCGAGCCGCGAGTTGCCGCGCTCAGCACGCGGCCCGGTCTCTCGTTAAATGATGCTCTCCCTGTTGCGCTCGACGTCCTCGATGCTCGAGGTCGAGCTGCCCCCGCATATCTGCATCTCGATCTCGGCCAGCCTCGACTCCACCTCCGACTGTTTTTTGCTCAGCATCTCGCTCATCGTCGCGTTCTCCGACTCGAGGCACACCAGTCTATTCCTCAGGTATTTTATCTCAGCCAGCAGGGGCTCGTGACCGTACAGTGGCGTCGTTCCCTCGCTCACCAGTTGCGTCATGCTGTTGCAAGACACTCCTGTGCGTGCAAAAATACGTGCGTACTGAGTAAAAACAACTTTTTTTTTTTTTTTTTTTTTTTTTTTTTTTTTTTTTTTTTTTTTTTTTT